TATTATATAATTTAATATATAAATTATTTTTAAAAATTAAAATTACTGTGATTTGTAATCACGGTTGGTTAAGAAAATCGTTAGAAATATTTTCTAAAAATGCTCTCTCTATTTTAATTTAATATTTCTTTAAGATGCGCATTTGCATAAGATAGTTCAAATCAAGTTTAAATCGTTCGAAAATTATTACCCATGTTAGCAAAGAGAATCCTCCGCAGAATAGATGCAGGACCTTCAAGATCTTATCCGAGAACCTTCTCCTCGGCGGGGTCAACAAGTTCGGTCCCTGATCTCGCAAACGATATTTCGCGACGATCGTCGATAAGCCCTGTTCAGGATCCAGTTGCAGGCTTTGCAGTAGATCCTCTACCGGTTGAATGTGCACGTTTGTCTCGATATCTTGGTGAAGAGCATCCAGATCGCGATTATATCGTTGCGACTTACGTAAAAATCGCCACATTATTTAAATCGCGAGTAAAGTCATGTATTAAAAATAAAATGTCTTTAAAATTTAAATATGAAAAAGATACATGTTGTCAAAATTAAAATATGCATTTTTAAAAACGTGTCATGAAGCGGACACGTGCGTAAAGTTAAATCGTAGCAAGCTTGATAATCGATTTATCTTTCGTGGCCCTTTCTGGAATCGATTATTAGAATCTTTTACTGCTTTTCTATTTTATCATTCAAATTTGTTAAATAATCTATACATCGGTAATATAATAAACACTATTTTTCTTATGCCTAAAAATACAAACTGATACAAAATTCACAGAATTGGAATTTATAGAGAAATGACTTTATACACGCGAACAATAAAAATTACGATAGATTTAGCTTTCATAATTCTTAATCTATTCAAATTATTTAAAGTAACGATAGGAGTTAATTAATTCAATTACAACCCTTTTCCATCACGTATCCTCGAAAATATGGGTTGTTCATGCAAATTGTTTATGTTGGTTGCATAATAGTTTTTTTTGAAAAATTGCATCCTTTTTTTCTTAAATTTAGATAATATCTTATTTTAGAACGCGCATATATCAGAGTGCGCGAATACATTACTGCTGGCTAACATTTTTCTTTCAGGGTCGCAACTGTGGGCAATTAATTTATATTAATCAATTTAAATTAATATAAATTAATATAGATTAATTTGAATTAATTGATCGATCAATTTTATTTTTATTTACTAGCTAACATTTTCTTTCGGGGCCCCACAAACGAGTATAAGCGCGTCATCTCTCGATCGAGAATCACACTCGAACGTCCCGCGCAAACGATCGGCGGCAAAGGCGTTTCCTGTATTACCGACCGCGCAGGTCTCTCGCTCCGCGGCTATCCGGTGGCGTTCGCGCGGCGCCACTGTGGAAAGACTCCTCGGTCCGAGAAGAGACGGCGTTTTCTCTACCATTCTCTACGCAGCAGCCGGGGACACGCGCGACTTTGGCCAATCTGTTCCACGTTCGTCCGCCATTATATAGCGCCGTGGCGACGTACCCGCTATTCCCCGGTGAGAGAAGAGTGCGCGACGCGACGCTTACCGACGCTCGGCGTCGTCGAGCGAGTCGTGCGAAGGAACGAGCGAGCGAGCGAATCGGGGGAGTAACCAGCCGAAAACAGGTAGTAACGCCAAGCGTTCCCGTGCGGTAGCCGAGGAGAGTTCTTCTCCCCCGTGTGTGATCGCGCGAGCGAGCGCCGTGAGAGAGAGAGAGGAGCGGGGCCACGCCGTTGCCGAAGCGGAGAGACCGGCTGCCGAGGACATGGAGAATAGGCCGTCGCCGCTTCGCTCGCGGCGCGTCTGCCGATTCTGCCTGACGGAGGCGGAACCGTTGAGCTTCATCTACGAGCGCGACCACAACAAGCCGTTCCAGGTGCCGCTCACATTGCAAATCATGTCCTGCGTCGCCATCGAGGTGAGTGGCCCCGCGATATATGTAACCTTCCTCACGGCATCGAGTCGATATCTCGACTTTTTGCGATGCATTAACCCGTCCCTCTCCGTCCGGGAATATAATGGGAATTTCATTAGAAGCGATGATTAGAAGGCGATAGGGATGCTAGCCACGAGGGGGTGTTTGTTGTTTCGTGAGAGATTCGTAGGGGGAGGGGAGATGGCGCGATGACATCGGTAACGTGGACGGTAAGATTGCCGGCTGATCCGGCGTCGTGACGTCAGCGTTCGCGAAGAGAGGACGCGACGCACAGTCGAATGTTCCCGCTTAAATTTTTTTTATCTCCTTTACCTGGACGCGCTAATGGTCGATCTTATTGTTGGAATTCTTCGCGAATGCTGAAGTCATGACACCGGAATCGAAATGAAAAATAATAAACAGTTCAAGAGTAGAGGTAAAAATGTTTATTTTATTCAATTTTTATATAACTTTATATGTTTTTATAACTTTAAACTGATGTCGTTGATCTATTAATAAAGTACATTATTTATGTGTCTCTTGATTCAATTTTATTCGATGAATTTTTATAAAACTGATCTTTGAATTGACTTTAAATTGATCTTATACATATATCTCACCGACTTATTGATGAAATTATTTATTCATACATTTATATTACGTGCGCGCTTTAATATTTATTATATATTTATAGAAAGATAAGTCTGGCGACCAGCGCCATGATCTTTATGATGAGGAACAGGACGGAGGTAGCGAGGGTGAACAGGAGGAAACAAACAACACCAAGGAAGAGAGGAAACTGGAACCTGGAGAGATCAGAGTGCACGCGTGTGACCAATGCGATCGCACATTCCCCCTGCGTCAAGCTCTGGCGTTGCACATTCAGCGCGCACATCGCGATCGCAACTACAAATGCACCGAGTGCGACCGGCATTTTTTCACTAAATACGACCTCGGCAAACATATGAGTACACATTCGGAGGAAAAGCCGTTCTCCTGTTCAGTCTGCCAGAAGCAATTCTCGCGATTGAACTTGCTGCAACGTCACGAGAAGGTGCATCGGGATGAAGCCCGCTATGCTTGCCAACACTGTGATCGCGAGTTCTTCACTACGGAGGAACTCGAAAAGCACGAGGACGCGATGCACAAGAAGGATAAACCGTTCCAGTGCAACATCTGCAACAAGCGCTTCCAGTACAAACAGGGCTTGGAGCGGCACGAGATGCTGCACAGCGAGGACAAAACATTCGTTTGCGACTACTGCAAGGAAGCCTTCCACACTAGCACCAAGCTGGCCCGGCATCTATCCACGCACGCCGGTCACCGGCCATTTATGTGTAAACTGTGTCCGCGCACATTCTTGCTCTCCCATCACTTGACGAGACACATGCGCACCCACTCCGTGGAAAAACGTCATGTGTGCGAGGATTGCGGCAAGGCGTTTAAGCGTAAGGAGAGTTTGGAGGTGCATCAACTGACGCACACGAAGCGCACAGGAATGGGCCTGACCTGCGATGTTTGCCAAGAGTCTTGTCGTAATCGCGCCGATTATGTTACTCACATCAAGCAACACATCGAGGCGGGCGAGAAGATGGGACCGGATGGTCTGCAGCCCGACAACAAAGCTAAGTCCATCGAGCTGGATTCGGACGAGGAGGAAGAGGAAGAGGATCAGTATTCGGACGGCGACGACGACTACACGCCGCCGGCGTACATTGCGAAGAAACTGCCGAAGGCAATGCCTAGACCTTCGGAGAGTGAAGAGGACGAAGATGAAGAAGACAGAGAAGAGAAGGAAGAGAAATCCGAAAGGCAGGAAAAGGAAGAACGCAAGGAACATCAGGTGGTTTACGTGCGCAGCAAGGACGGCAACATGGTGAAGAAGACCATCAAGACGCTGATGCCAATCCAACGTTGCGATATTCAAGAGCAGAAGACCGTGAAGCAGACCACTCCCACCGGTTCGGTTTCTCAGAGCAGTTTGAAAGGTTCTTCGTCGTCGCAGATCAAGGATGATAATGTCAAGAGCGGGCGAGTAGACGAGACCGAGGCACAAGTGCAGAAGATTGTTGCCTCGGTATTTAAGGAACACAAGATTCCGCTGAAACATCAGCAAAACGCCGGTCAGGATCAGTCTAAAGAGGCTCCAGTGACGAGATCTCAAACTGCTTCTCAGGATACTCACAAGGATAGCGACAAGACGGAGAACATTGAGTCCAAGCCAAAAGCCGTTAATACGGTTAAAGTGATTAAAAGAATCGTGCTGAGGAAGCCGGCGGGAGGAAACAGTAACGATGGAACACCGGTCAGTACATCTAGTGTCAAGGATGGAGACACCAGCCTAAGTGGCACTCCGAGCTCGCACAAGGTTAAGCGCGTGATTGTTCGTAGAATCATCCGGCAGGGCGATACTACTCGCGAAGTCATCATGAATCCGGACGGTACCGCGATAGACCCCGCAGAATTGGCGAAATTGCCGACTGGCAACGTAGTGAAACGAGTAGTGGTGAAGCGACCATTCGACAAGGGTCAGAGCTTGGTGCAAGCCGTATTGCAATCCGCGGAGCAACGACAGAAAGCAGCTGATACAGGCATTCTGAACGAGAAATTTGAGCTGAAGACCTCCCCCTCATCCAGTGGCGGAGCTGCGAGCATGCCGAAGAGCACGATCGCTTCGCAGAAGACACAAGTGATCTCCCAGGGTCAGGATCAAGAGACCAAGGAGAAGCTGGAGCAACTGGAGAAGCGGGTCGAGCAACAGAGGTTGAAGATCGAGGAGCTTCAGGCAAGGAAGGCGCAACAAGATTACGAGGCGATTGATGAGATGTTACCGGAACGGCACGATGAGTCGGAAGATGAGCAGCAGCTGCCGCTCAAGAGGGTGTTCGTGAAACGAAAGCAGAGTATATACGACGAGGAGCGGGAATACAATGACGACGTGGAAACAGAAACGACGAAGATCAATCTGACCCAAGGAGTAAAGGACGACGTTGAGCAAGGATCAGCGAAGGAAGAAGAGAAATCTACCGTAGAAGAGACATTGGAGAATGTTCAAAAGGAAATCCAGAGCGCGTCGAAAACAACGACGACAACCACCACCGGCAACACTACTACCACTAACAGCACACCGGTCACTAAGAAGGGCCCGACGATTTCAAGTAACAAGGTATACTCGAACAAGCGCTACATGATCGTGAAACCTGGCGAAACGTCGGAAGTGGAGGAGATGAGTCGCGAATTGTGCAGTATCTTAGAAACTACCGATAGCGCGGTGAAGATGCAAGAAACTATGCTGAGCAACCTCACGCAAATTTCCGGCATTGCAGTGTCATCAGCATCGGACATAAACACCTCAAACGCGTCTGCGAAGCTGAAGACCGACAACTCGCCGATGGAGGTTGACGAGCAGATTGAGCAAGATTGCGTGGTGCAGGTGGATTGTGACGTAGCTACTATTAAGCAAGAGACTGCGATGGAAGTTGAAGTTGCACAGGAGACTGAAATTAAGTTGGATCCCGAGACGGAGGAACCTGCACAGGTGAGCGTACAGGTGAGCGTTACGCAAGGGGAGATTCAGCCTGATACCGCAACTTTGACACTGGACACACAGGATCTTTCTGAGACTGCTTCGATCTTCGAGTCATCGGATGACGTACTGGAGGTGCGGAAATCGACGAGCGATAACCTGAGCGATTCTGTTATTGAGTTGTCGCAAGGTAACGACACTATCAATCTGAATGATACCAACGATAGTCAGGACAGCCTGGAAGACAAACTCTCGCAAATGGAAGGTTAAAGAAGGTTTGATTCTATTTTACTCGTTTGTCTATTTTGTTGAGGTGCTGCGCCAAGTAAAAATCGTGTTCTCGAATTTGCTAGATATCTGAAGCCCTTCTATTACTGTTGGTAATTAATTTTGATAATATCAGTAAACATCACGCTGTTTAGTTTAGGTAATGTCAATATTAACATCCCTGATTATGGAGCGTATTACTGCTAAATTGATGTTATTTTAATAGTTGTACCAACAAAATACAAAACAGATAATATAATATTGCAGTTATGAAGCAAGTACATATTTATCTAATAATTTTTTAATAATATAATAACATTTTTTAAACTTTGTTTTTTAAATACAAAGTGATTCTAAACTTCTTTTTGCATGAAAAATTAATATTAATTTTATTGCAATAAAATTAAAATTTTGCATTTAAAAGAAATTTTATTGCAATAAGATTGCAATAAAAAGAAATTATTATTACAAAATATATAGTTTTATTTTTTTAATATAATCCTTTCTCCGCTCTTGCAAAATGTTAGAGAATATCGTTATAATTTTACAATAAATATTTCTGAAAGATATATGTAAATTTTTATAATGAATTTATGTAGAATCTCTTTATAATTATCTTTATCTTTAATGCTAATTCCCCATCGTGCAAGATAGATTGATAACAACAAAGATTTATAACATCTGCTAAAATTTAATACTAAAAAAGATGAATTTGATGAAGATAAGAATGGTGAAATTATTTTGTTAGCCAAAGCAAATGCGCAAAGAAGAAAAGTTCACCAAGAGATATTGTGTGTATATATATGTATGTATATATATACATTCTTCTCGTGGTTTTAATTTTCGAAAATTGGGATTGATAAAATCATCCGGTGACTATATATTTACGTACATTTTCTCATTGCAAATGTACCGAATTGAAAGATAATACTTGAAACGAAGACATTGCAAATAAGTCTGATCAAAGTTACTTTAAATCTAGAAAAGATCTCTTTATTTCGAAAATAGCATAAGTCAAATTTTGAAAAATCGAGATAAGAGCAAGGGATGAATAAGAGATTAAATCAAGAGGGTATCAGAAGATTGAAAGTTTTCTTTTCAAACCACTCTGTTAGAAAAATAATTCTACAATTACGAAAAAAATGTACCATAAAATTCTTATAGATCTGATAAACCATTAAAATGACATTAAGATTAGCCATTCTCGAAATAAATAATTCACTCGAGCTTACGAGAGTCACTTCACCTTCACGAAAGTTCTGAAGCAAAAAAATTAAAGATACGTCAGATAAATTTCGATGTGATCTTAATGGGATTGACGCGATATTATCTTCGCTATCATCGAATTCCGAAACGATCGAAGTTACCAAATTACCAATAAAAAATGTTATATATATTCGAATAAAAGACATGCGAGACAAGGATCCTTTTGTACAAACGTCTTCACATGATTGATTCGATTTTATATATTCGATTATATATATTAATGTGACCTGTGTGTAAATTTTTGTTGCTATCAATCCATCTTGCACGATAATGAAATAGCATTAAAAATAAAACAAATTATTATAAAGAGACTCTACATAGACTTATTATAAAAATTTACATATATCTTTTAGAAATATTTATGAAGTAATATCGATATTCTCTCTAACATTTTGCAGGAGCGAAGAAAAATTATATTGGATTATAAAAACAATTTTTCATTTTGTAATATTAATTAGAGTAATAGTAATTAATAGAGAAATAATTATCCGAAAAATTTAATATTTCTCTAGTAATTATGTAATAATAATATTTTTTAGACATGATCGTATATTTTATCTTTTAAAAAAAGAATCTCTGACTTTTCAAAATTGCATATAATTGCGTTAAAAGTGTTATATTATCTGTTTTATTTTTAATGCTGTTTCTTTATCATGCAAGATGAGTTGATAGCAATAAAAATTCATACATAGATAACATCCATATTATAAAATCGAATCAATTATGTGAAGACATTTGTACACAAGGATCTCATCTCGCATTTTTTTTAAATTTAAATCGTTTCGGATGATCATGGACGGAAGATAACATTGCGTTAATTCCATTAAGATCATATTGAAATTTCTTTGACGCATATTTAATTTTTTTGCTTGAAAACTGTAAACTTTGCGAAGATAAAGTGACTCTCGTAAGCTCAAGTGAATCATTTATTTTGAGAATGGCTAATGTTAATGTTATTTTAATATGATTTAACGCATTAGGAGATTTATTTTTAAGAATTCTATGATACATTTTCTTGTAATTGTAGAATTATTTTTCTCAGAGAATGGTTTGAAAAGAGAACTTTGAATCTTCTGATACCTTTTTGATTTATATCTCTTATTTATCTCTTGTTCTCAATTTTTCAAAATTTGACTTATGCTGTTTTTAAAATAACGAGATCTTTCTAGATTTAAAATAACTTTGATCAGATTTATTTGCGATGTCTTCGTTTTGAATATTATCTTTCAATTGAGCATATTTGCAATGAGAGAATGTATATAAATATATAAGCAGCCACCGGATGGTTTTATTGATCCTGATTTTCGAAAATTAAAGCCACGAGAAAAATGTGTACATATATATATATACAACATCTCTTTGCGATTTTTTCTTTTTCGAGCGTTTGCTTTGGCTAACGAAATAACTTCACGATTCTTACATTCGTCGAATTTGTCTTTTTTTTACGATTAAAATTCAACAGATGCAACCGGTTGTCGTTCGCCAATCCCCTTCTTTCCTTCAAGTTCAATCACTTCTTATATTTAAGAATGATCATGATCAATATATAATTCCTTTAATCGAATATATTAAGATATCTATATCAATATTTGAAAACTTGTTAAAATAATTTAAAATATTTCAGATATACAATTTTAGTATAATTTTTAATGTACGGCGATAAAATTACGCTAATCAGATTTTAGTATTGACTGAAATTAATGCGAATCCAAGACAATTGGTCCACATTGTCTATTAGCACATTAAACTAATCAATTTTTTTCGAATATTATGATCACAATTTTTTTGTCTCTTTTTTTTTAATACGTTGTTGATGCAATGGAACTCTGATTTTACAAATCAGCACATATACAACATTGGGAACATAAGAGATAATGAAGTACTAGATATACATATAATAGTATAATCATATAACCAGAATTATTTCGTTAATTAGTTCTGAAGACGATAACATACGTAGGTTATCTGATACTCTGTGCAAGATATTTGGAATTATGTATGAAATACAAAGTATATGGTGTGTAAGTGTAAAAGAGCCCTCGGCAATATTTGTTATGCCTGTTCCCTGTCCTCTTTTTCTCTCTCTTTCTTACACATCTCCCAAACAATAAATATTCAAATAGGTAAGAGAATAGAAAAAAAATTACTTATATGTACACATAGTATATATTATTATCTAATATTATATTTTATTAGTTACAAGAAAATGAACATAATATAATTGATAGAATTTGTATAAAAACTTAGACTTTATTCCGTACACAACATTACATACATATAATTCTTACATTTACGATAATACAAGTATTTTGGATCATTATTATTATATAAATATATATAATCTATTAATTACATATATATAATATATAATGCAGTAACGATATACTTTCATTTATAAAAGAAATACATATTGTTGCGAGAGTGCGTTAAATGTATGTAGACGGATTAAATGTCACGTATATGTGATCACAATACTTGACAATTAGTTATATTTTTACGCGCTTTTACGAAATTAGTGGCTTTTAATCAAATATTAGCTCTCGTGCATGTAGATATGAAAAATTCAGAGAACATCCACGGTGAATAGATAAAAAATATCATGGAAATTGATTATAAATTCGCGTGTAAACTTGCGCGAAATGGCTACGAACATGCATATACATTAATCTAACATTAAGCGAAATGATCGAAAAGTCACGCAAGCGTATAAATTAATTAAATATATTAATAAAAATAGATATGGTTTATGAAAATATAATGAATAATCCCATTGAGACGAATCTTTTGTACCCGCACGTTATTTATTATTACAAATTAAGTATTTTTATACGTGTGATTAAATTAATTATTAAATTATTAAAGAATCATGAATTATTGCAATATCGTGTGATCAGTCTCAATCAATAATTTAATGAGGATAAACAATTAGAAATTAAATTAAGACTCGATGATTTTCGCTGATGATGAGAGAGCCATGAATACTTAAAAACAAATTAAAAAAACGTTAGAAAATTTTTGACTTATGTTTATATTGATGAAGAGCAGCGCATACACTTATCCAAAAATACACTGGGTGTCATAAATTAAATTAAACAGAATTTAATATCAAATACGTTTTAACAGGAGTTGCGTGATTTTTCAATTTTTAATGAAGCGCGGTGGGAATTCAGCCGAATATTCCATTAATTAATTATCAAAATGTTATCAAAGTACAATTGAATATCAACTGCACGTGTCGACCAATGTGGCATGAGATGTCGGCATTGTAAAATATTTTGTAACGAAAGATCTGTCTTCGGTTTTCTTCATATGTTCATCTGTATTTTCATTCTTATCTTATATGATTCAAGACGATTTAGAAACGTATGATATAATTAAACTTTTATTTAATTATATAATTTATGTAATGAAAATTTTTATCGATTGGCAACATTTTATAAAAAAAAATTCTTGAAAACTATTATATTTGGCATTATAATGTGTTTTTAAAACTAAATTAACGCTTTTATTTCAACACAATTGTTAACAAGGTCAACAAAAATGTGAAAATCCTGTAAAAAATTTTTACTTTTTATTTTAAAATTAATTGTGATTGCAATAATTGCATCTCTAGATCGTTTTTAGCGATCATTAGAAACTGACGTTTTGTTAAAAATATTATTCTTTTAAAAAGCAATACAATTCTGAACTTTAATTTTGCAATTTGTGCTTCGCGCAAATAAAAGCGCGCACTTTTCACAATAAAAGCCGTCTAATAATTCTTATCGTATTATCGATAATACAATTTGCGAACTGACAAGATTGTTAAAGTGTTGATTAGAGCATCAAGCGGGACTGACGTGTTTCTTGGCGGTAAGATTCTGGAGCTGCAAAACAAGGATGTTTTGACATTTGCTTTTCTCTTTTTTTATATATATACGAAAGTATTCACTATTCTACAAACGAATTACTAAATCATTTTTGTGTATGTCTGGACATCTTCGTACCTTAAAGTCCGTTATGTCCGCTGTCAATATACTCGAACCTCTGTGGGACAGAGACGATCGTGTACTTACAATTAGAATGGAAATCTTATTTTGAGAAAAATTGTACACCAGAATAGTCGTGAGATTTTGTAAAGAATGAGAAAAAGATCGAAGAAAAATAAGAAAGAAAATTCCTCCTTGAAAAAAGCAGATTTGGCTCTTGTATTTCATAATTTCTTAAAAAATTTCTGAATAATTATTTTTTTTTTTTTATTTTGCGTTTTAATGATATGAGAAGTTATATAAAAATGATTATCTCTCAAGATTTTTATTTTTTGGATTTAAAAAAATAAAATTTACTTATATCGCATTTTGTCATCATGCATTATGAATATACATGCGTTATATAATATATAATATAAGTATATTCTGTCCCATAAAAAATTGGATAAAAATACTTGAGCTTTTGAGATTCCAGAGTTTCATCGACAAGGAAAAAAGTATCGAAAAAAATTATAAATTATACCAAATATTATCTATAAGTAGAGAATTAATGCATGCGTCAGCAATGTTTAAGCGAATTAAGTCTTGTTAATGCAGAGGAAGATGCCAGACTTACATTGTTAATGTTTATTTCCCAAACATTTTTTCAGACATATTAAGAATCAAAAGTTCATAACATGACATTTAATTTTTAATAATTATCGAGAACTTTTACATATATATATATAAATTTAGAAAGTTAAATAAAATTGAAAAATTTAACAAATTTAAAAAGTTGGTCAAAAATTAATTATTTTGAAATCTAATGAATTCTTTTTTCTTTACTAAGAATTGAGAATTAATTAAGAAATCTTGGAAATTGAATATTTTTTATTCGTGTCTGAAAGTGATTTCACATTCTCGTGTTATAATATACCTCCTTCTCCTCGCTGGCAACGGAGGCGTAGGTCCTAGCGGGGACTTCCGGTTCCTTGGCGGGCCCAACTGCGTGTACATAAATTAGCGCACCGGTGATGCCCCCCATAATCGGGCCTACCCAGTACACCCAGTGGTCATCGAAGGCGCCCATTACTACGGCGCTGCCCAGCGAACGCGCCGGATTCATCCCGGCGCCTGTTCGCGGCACCTGATTATTGCAAAAATATTGTTACAAAGATATAAAATAATAATAAAATCAGAGAAGAGGAAGAACTAATTTTTAATATTATTTTATTAATTATAAATGAATTTTGCGTTTTATATAAAATATAATTTTAGAATACATATTGAATGTGGAATTCTGAATGAATTAAGAGTTTGCGTTTAAAGATTTAATTTGAAAATTAAAAAAAAAAGGGAAATGCGTTTTTGTAATTATCGGAATACTTACGCCGACAATATGGCCGACGGTGACTACCAGGCCGATTAAGAGGGGCGCGATGCCTTTGCTGTCCGGTTTAGCGGCGTCGCACGCGCCGCAGATAACCAGGACTAAGATCAATGCTAGGAAGAACTCCACGCCGACTCCTTGGATCGGAGTGATCCCCTTAGAGAGCTTCACTACACCCAGAGCACCCTCCGTCGTATCCGCTGAAAGGGCTCGCAGAATTGCCGAGCCTGCGATCGCGCCCGCACATTGCGCAACGATATACAGGATGCCCCTGATGATTGGCACCTACCGAGAATGTAAGAATTAGCATCTTATCAGCGTAATAGACTGATAACTATTCAGGCAAAAAAAGATAAATTTGAACAGACATCAAGATAATCAAATGAATAATGTAATAAGTATTCGATCAAAATTCAATGATTGATCAGTGATATTATTATTGAAAATTGTTTGTTATACTGATGCGTAATTTGTTTAGTTAATTTGAGATTTGAACGGAGGATGACCGCCGGTTTTTTTTTAATTTAGTTTCACTTCTTTGTAGACGATCAATTTTCATCGCGTGATATCGAATTCCTCAGATGAGTATAGATTTCATTTGTGGAATAAAATATAGCCGATTCTCGATTTACACACGATTTATATACAATGGATTTAGAGCGACTTGAAAGATTCCAAAGATCCTAAATCAAACTATATTTAAAAGAAATCTTACAGAGAGAAAAATAAAAAATAAATAATTGCAACGAAGAGCAATTTATGTATAGAAAGAGAAAAAATTTCGGCAATTTATTATATTAAATTATAATTAACTAATTTTTAATGAGTTATAAACAAACATATTTTCATGAGTTATAAGTCAAGTATAAAAAATTACTATTTTAATAATGATAATTATTTATTTATATTTAATATGAAAAACATAATTACATTATTACAAGTGCTTTATACATTATTTTGCATATCTTGATATTTTACTTGATTTTTATCAATTGAGAATAAAAGCTTTTTTATATCAAATATATACACACGATATGTCACTTTACCTTGCCGATGATGATGAGACCGCACGTGACTGCAGGGTTGACGTGACCGCCAGAAACGTGACCTATCCCCTGAATCGCGCTCGCCACCACCAGACCAAAGGCCAAACCGATGGCAACAACATTTTCAGTTACCACAGCACCGCAGCCGAAGAAATTAAGCAACAGGGTGCCGAGAAATTCTGCCAAAAGACCACGAGGAAGACCGGCCTTCTTATCGGTAAGCTCGTCAGCGCCAAAGGCGTTTTTTAGATTCACCATCTGCGCGAGAAATTTAAGATATTTAAATAGAAAATAATAAAAAGTAAAATAGATAAATGAAAACAGAAGGAAAGAGAGAGAAAGAGGATATAAAAAAATATTACAACAAAAATACATATAAAATCGTTTATCTCGAAACAACCAGAGATTTTAATACGAGCAATAGAGAAAATAGTAAATACTTCAGGATTAGAAAATAGATACAACATGCGATGTTTTTCTTGTATTTTTTTATTGCGATAAAATCATAATTTTTATTAAGATAATATAAAATTCCTATCTATAAACTTTTCCAAAAGATAAAAATTAAGATTTTTTTTTTTTTTTTTTGGTAGATAGAGAAGATGTTTGATTTACGATCTTCTTTACATAATATTAATGAAACAAAAGTATTTTGTATATGGGAAGTGTTTTTTTTTCTTTTATACGGGTTCGTATAAACTTTGATGTCGTCTTGTAACACTTCCTTAGCAATGTTTAGCGGTTCCATCGATCAACGACTAGCGGATCTAGATCGAGGACACGCGTTTTACGAGCATAGCCGCGACGAAAGCTTCGACAGGCTGCATTACGTATGCAAATCGTCACATCCTCGTCTCGAACGCGATCGTCTCGAATTACTTAATCGCTGTAAAGCTCGTTGATCATCACCTACGCGCTTTAATTAAGCAGCAAATCGTCATCGGAAAGGATTGCGACACGTTTTCTTTAATATTTCATAAAATAAAATCACAAACGTATTATCATAATCACATTTTAATTAAATTTATTGTATAAAGAAAAACACTATTTTGTTTTACACATAATTTTTAGAGTTAGTTTTTTTTATTCGTTCTGGTACTTTCTTTTCTTGATATCTATCTGATTAAGCAAAACAGCAAAACTGTGTCAGGGAATATTATTTTTTTTTTCCAAAAAATACCATCTGACAGGCGGGATTACGTAATTTCATGGTTGTCATTACTAAAGTTATAAGATGAGATGATCGGATCCTACAGATGATGTCACAGCCCGAGATTGTTCCTCCTTCGCATTCGTCTGTATATGTGTCATAAAACTATTTGTCGCTTACTGTGACCGATTTGCTAAATCGCGCCGTTACGAAATCATGTGGGTATTAAAGGAACCGGATTTATTTGTTGACGCCTTTATGCGAATCGCGCGATCGATATTTTGTTTTCTCAGCCCCGTATTCTCGCGAAATGTTTGGATTGTAAACATCAATGTGAAGCTTAAATTAGGGACTTGAAGGAATTTTAAGGTCGATCAGCATTTCTGCGCTGCGATTTGTTGCAAAGATAACATTGATTTCATTTAAGAAACATTTTGTGCAAAATTTATGAAACATCAGTAATTACTTTTAATATTTATTTATTAGAAATGTTATATGTCATAATATTAATATTAATTCTAATAAGGTTATTAATATTAATATAATTGCATAAATATTGTATAAATATAATTTATAGCAAATTACATTTGTAAAATTTGACATTTTAAGGACAGATCCTTTGATATGAATTTTCAATCAAATTTTCTTCAGCCAAAAATTTTGAATGTTTTTCATTTATTTCTGAAATTCTCTAACATTTCATGGAACTTTCTGTCACTATTTATGCATTTCGCTCATATGGCGTAATTTGCTAAATTAATGAATTCCGCTTGGTCGGAAATTTCGCGGGATCGTAAAAGCGGTAATGTTCGCACATTAATAGAGCGCGGGCGATGTACGACACCGTCGGGAAATTCTATGAAAGTACGAGCTACGATCTTTATTTCCATCGTTTTTTTATATATTTACCTTTGCTTCCATTTATCTGATTGCTTTTAGCATGATCGCGACGCTAATTTCACAAATGCGAGCGTTAATCGGGTTACAAATACGATTCAACGTTGTTGTTGAAAAATCGTCTTTGCTAATGTTTAAAACAATTATTTACTATTTGTTCTGGCAAGTCTCTGTGCGTTAGATATTATGAACGCTTTACATGAATCGGGAAGGATTACTTGATAAATTTCTCTGATAATTTTCTAAAATATTGCCTAATTTCAAAACACAAGCAAGCGTGCTGTTATATTTATTTAATTTATATAATATTACTTTGCATTATATTATTTACATATTTTTCTTGTTATATATTTATTATTATTTATTTATTTAATATCATGCATTAAATATATCAACATATAATTTTGATATTTAATATGATTATGATTTTTTAATTCAAGTTATATTTATGTTTAATCATAATATGATAATCATTTAAAATTTTAAATTAAATGATTATCATAATATGATAATATGATAAAATTTTAAACTAAATGATTATCATAATATGATAATCATTTAATTTAAAATTTTAACTTCTAGTCGTATATACATATATACATATGAAATTGTATATATATGAAATTATAATCGACTCAAAATTTATGATAAAATATTCAAATTTTATTCTTTTATGAAGCGACAATTTCAATATTAATTATTTAAATTAATTTCTCAATCGTCAAGCAACTGCAATTATAAATGGTGCAACATGAATGAACTGTAAATTGCAACGAAATCTTGAATTCTTACTAAAACGTGCTTCCGTTTCTTTGTTTTTTTCTGCCATAAGTTCTCCTACTTTTTCTATTAACATCCTACTTGCTTTTCACATGTCTTGTTACAATTCAGCATCGTCCTTCGCGACGCTATTATCGATATCGACGTTCCACCTGACAGCAATAAAACCCCCTCCTTCTATCTCACCTGAGAATCCACCTCGTGTTCGTTTCTTCACGATTGCCGTCAATCGTTCCGCGAAAGCGAAGACCGGTCGATTTGGAAGCATAAATCGCCCGTTAGATCCTCGGCGATTTATCCCATAAGTTCTCCTACTTTTTCTATTAACATCCTACTTGCTTTTCACATGTCTTGTTACAATTCAGCAGCGAAGAGAAGAAGGTCGTCCTTCGCGACGCTATTATCGATATCGACATTCCACCTGACAGCAATAAAACCCCCTCCTTCTATCTCACCTGAGAATCCACCTCGTGTTCGTTTCTTCACGATTGCCGTCAATCGTTCCGCGAAAGCGAAGACCGGTCGATTTGGAAGCATAAATCGCCCGTTAGATCCTCGGCGATTTATCGCCGACCGTTAGAGAGATCGTTATCCCTATATGGTCTCGTAGGATTTTTCTTTTCCACTTATTTTATTTTTCTCAGATGGACATCGTGTACGACTTCTTCTCAATCCCTTTAAAGGATCGCTCGACCATATCGAACCGACAATCCACTCGTTCCACTTTATAAGCCAATGGCTTTTTCATTGCATCATTAATTGTCAGAGGTTTAATTTGACTTAAATTAATATAATTTCTTAGCTTTAAATTTTAATCCTTATGAACATATAAATTTAATTCTTAAAATCAATTTTATTGAATTACAGAATATTTTTGAATTATATTTAAATTTTAAACAATTCTTAAATTAATCTTAATTAAATTAAAAGATTTAAATTAAATATTTATTTTAATTCAAATATTATTGTATGTTATAAAATTTTATTATACAAATTTTATTTTACTTTTATCTTTTTATTCTATTATTGTTTACATTTTTTAATCTAAATTACATTATTATTTTAATTTTATTCCAAACTTAATATAATTGTTTATTTTTAGAACACTTTGTACAATTTATATATCAATAATCGTTGTCTAACTGAGATCGATTAACTTATTAAAAAATTATTTATTTCATAAAAGATTTTACAAAGAATAAAATAATTTAATAATAATAATCTATATATCTGTATCAATTGAGATATATATAATATTTTCTTTCAAAATTAGGACCTTATTAATTGGGCTTTAAATATCATCGAGCGCTACAATACGTGTTTATTCATATCGTATATCGATTCATATCGTATATCGATGGAAAATATCGGGAACAATGATAAATCATTGCGTGGCTTCCGCGAAAACAAAGCACGCGATAAAGACAAAAATAGTTAAAATGTTCGCATGAATGTCACGTATCAGCAAAAAATGATCAAGATTTGAATACGCATCTTGCATGCATCTCACGTTAAATTGCTAGTCTGATTCGAATCGTAAAAGCTTGATTCTGCGTTTAACGCAGCGCGATTGCATTTCAGCCTTTTAAACCGAGACATGTTTCTTTGATTGTAAATCCTTCCCACGTGTCGATTAAGCTTTTCCGACAGACTCTGCTATTTTATACATCTTTGAAGCACTGAATAACTTTTATTATAGTAAATGTTATGGAGAGTTTTTAATTTTAATAATCAGTTATGTTATTATTTTTTTATTATATTACTAAATCTAATTATATTACTAAATAAATAAAATTTTAGTATATTACTAATGATACAAAAATAGATCTTTACTCACCCCGAAATTTCGTAACTGACGTTTACACTAAATCCCTTCTAATTCTGTCAACAGCTGTCCACGAGCCTCTAAAAGTTCCTCCAGAATCGTTTGTTCTCTTGACAGTCCGTTAAAAATTACTCAATAAAATTTCTTTGAAAAAATAAAATTTAATTGAGAATTGTTTGAGATACTTTCGAATACTTTTGGAGGGTTTTTCTAAAAGTCTCTCGAGCGGAGACGGTTTACGATGAAGCCGAGATGATTCTTTGAGAGCGACCGAACGACAACTGTCGCAAGTGAAGCTCTCGGGCCGGTCGGGCCTCACGTAGGTAGATATCTGTTCTGGTACTCTATCGGCTGGCTGGCTGACAGCAGAGTAGAAGGGATATCGCGGTTAAAAGTGGCGAATGCAGGCGCGTAAACAATGTGGATGAGTTCATGCGTGGAATATACGCTAATATTTTGATAGATATGAAGCTTTATACGAGAGAACGGATTAAATTTGAAAATGCACCATTGATAAGATCGTGATAAATATATCTCGACATTAACATTTTAATTTTGAGTAAATATATATGTGATTTTGAAATTTTATGGAAACAGTTTAAACCTAAAAATTTGACGTTCAAAGATTCGCAATTAAATATTCTGTGAAACTATAAAAACTTAAAAAAATTTAATAGAGAAATAGAAAAATTAAAAATATTTTTTAAATTGGAAAATTTGTATGTTTTAAACCGTCTAAAAAGTCTACTAGACTTTTCGAAATCACCGTAAAAGTTCTTAACTTTTTTAAAGACTGCTCAAAAAAAGACTGTCTTATTTTGAATCGCTAATACTTCTACTTTTCTGTACGTATTTCATCTATACGTATGTTTTTTAGTCTTTTCCGACATTACATCTTTTTCGTCACACATTTTATAGGCACATACCTATATTATTAGGCATTACACTCCCGCAGTATCTGGGAATTTATTCCCGTACCGGACTCGCATCCTCCGTTGGCTCTTTTTTCTCATCGCTCCTTTAGTGTCTATCAACTTTTAATTTCACCGATCGACATGTATTTGCGTTGGCAACTTTCTTCTCATTTTATAATAAGCCATCACATCGCTGTGAAGGTGAATTCAAAATTTGCGTTAATGAGTCTGACCAGTGCGACCTTCGTCATGCAATTTTTTTTGTATTATCAGGCTCTATATATATTTATATTATATGCATACTAGGATACATATTTTAGTTTATTTGCGTTTTGTTCGCCATATTGCTCCACTTCGTGAAGCTTTGTCATATACTTAATCTTTTTACTTAATTTTTTATTTTCCACCTCGATTTCATTGAAAAGAACTCGAAATGGTAGTCGAAACGTTTAAATTAATGTATAATATATCTTGAATGTATATTTAATAAAATATAATAATTCGTTTACGCTCTAAGTACCGCGTCTGGACTCCAATTGGCCTTCCTGTTTATTAATTGATTAAAAAAGAACGATTTATTTTTGCTTTGACTTGTCTTCAATTTACTATTTTCGGTCTTTGTGTTGCAATCTTTTCTCTCCAGTCTTCTATGAAATGCGATTGCTTTAGGAAGTTAGAAGGGAAACAAGAAACTCGTTTGAGCGATGATATCATCGAGAATCGTTTTATTTAAACTGATAAAACTTTAGAGAATATTATTTTTACAAAAATATATTACATAGATATATAAATCGATAAAATTTTAATAATCTGAAAAAATAACTTCCAATAGAAATACGAGAGAAATAACGCAACATAAATTTTCTGATAGCGAGCAATTTTTGCTCTTCGAATTTCTTTTGATTGTAGTTTTTCCGAAACGTATAATCGGAAATGGTTATTTCCCAGTAGGAAAAGGAAAATACGGTTTCAACGGTACTTCCTTGTAAAGCACGCGATGCATAACGAAGGGGGAATCGTCTAACCGCAACGACGAGTACTCTAAAGAGGATGAATTCATTCCAGCCTTCACCTTTTTTACGATTAAACGCTCTACGATTTATAATTCTTCTTTCCATTTAATTTAATCTTTTTCCATGTCGTTTCGATTTATATTTCTAGTTTAGACTAAATATTTTTAAATTTGTTTATGAAAGTAATAAAATAATTCTTTTATGTTTTATTTTTATTTCAATGATTTTTATTCATTTTTTTCTTATTTTTATTTAGAACTTAACTATTTTCTCTTATCTATTTTATTTCTCCTGTTTTAATCTTATTTTCTTATTTAGCTTATGTTTTATTTATCACAAGCGTATTTTTTTTTAACTTTTTATTTCAAAATTTTTGGCTTGCAGATTGTTTTTACCTCTAACTCTCAATATACTTGAGTTTATTCTCCTAAATTTAATCTGTCGTATTTTTGCGTAGAACTTAAATATGGAGATTCGTTAGTTGCGCGCGTTAATATCTTTAAACATGAAATATTGGTCCTGTCATCTTGCATAATCTTTTTGTCTTGTTAAACCAATCGCCCAAGTAAGTCGAATGTCATTATGGCAACCGGCGTATAAACGAGTCGACGACATACAGAAAATGCGGAGGCGAGCGACGCGAGAAAATGTTAAATAGTCGATCAATTTGTGTAACTCGAAACACGATTCATCACACGCACAATCATCCCTATATCCAATGATGATGAGTATCGCGTTCGCGCATATTCGATTAGACGCATGCTAATAGAGATAAAATGTGAAAAAATACTAGACAGTTATTGGATATTAAATGCACATAATGAACTTCACATTATTACATAGCAAATTTATAAAACATTTATGACACTTTTAATAAAAATATTTTAATTTTATTTTTGCACTAAATGATTTTTAGATTTTTATATCTCTATCTCATAAAAAACTGTATAACAAAAATTAGAAATGTTTGATAAAAATATAAAAAAATTATATTTATGTACAATTTCTTTGCACACACGGTATTATGATTATAATGCAATGCATTATGGTAATAATGAAATATATCGCGTTTTATCTTTATCATTTTTATTATATACATATATTCTAGTGATGCACAAGGCTACTAGCAATAAGGCCAATTAACTATCGGACGAATGAAATAATGACGGCTTCGGACAAAGCATTCTTTTAGTCATGGAATGTTTCGTTTACAGTAGAACTATAATTATGCCACATGCTACACAGGTTATCATAATTGTGTTACAATGAATAGTAACACACTTAGAACTGCAAATGCAAATATTACAGCGCATATATCGCGGAAGAGAGTCCTATTGTTGGAAGATTATTTTCATTGGAAAAATAGCTGAGCTCTTGGCTGCGTTTTTATCCGGATATTGAATCGCAGTTTATATGCGGTTTAGGTACAGGTGTGCATATATTTATTGTGTATTAATTAATACGCATGCTTTTCACCGCGGCAAGAACGATTAATAAATAAGATTAATAAATAAGAAATACAATAAGAAAATATTGAGAAAATATGAAAATATTAAGAGTTTTATTAGAGACAAGAGAACGAATAATATAAACAATTCGTAAAAAAATAATTATAAGAGTAATATATAAAAATAGATAATTTTAATTTTTTAAGGAATTCTTTGAAAGAAAATTAATTATATAAATATTACAAAAATGTATTAAATTTTAAGGAAACTAATTTAATAATTTCTTTAAATTATATATAATTCCAAGAGAGGTTTTTATTCATCATGAATTAATTGTCTAAATTTGCATTCGTTATAAATATAATATATTCAAATTTTATAAAATGTTTCTTTGAACACAATATATGATAACAGGTTCACCGACATAGAGACAATCCTGATCCCGCCAAAAGCGGATGAATCATTTCGCGTTCTCCGAGTCTGAGCATATTCCACATAGCGGCACAAAAGAATTGTCATCGCCAAGTCATTACCACTCTTTTCACGTGACCGCCGCGCGCTGTCAACTACCTCATCGCTTTGTCTTTTTGCCTAAGAATATGTATGAGACGCGTGTGTATCAACGTTTTCATATAGCATATTTAGCAGTAAAGTTATCTATTTAAAATATCCGTTTTAATGAAAGATTTAGAAGAAAAAAAAAAATTAAATTTTAACATATGAAAAATGATATTAAAACTATTATATGAATGTGTAAACTGGAAATCATCCTAAGCCGAAAGGCAAGGATTAATAAATACAATACAATACAATATTAAAACTATTATACATAACTATTATACATAATTAAATGATAAAATAAATGATAATTAAATATAAAGAAAGATAAATAAATAATTTTAATATTTTTAAATATGGTTTAAAAGAACAGGTTTACAATATGATAATTGAATATTAATGATATTATATCAAATATTTATGACATTAATGATATGATATTGAAAAAAATAAACGATAAGGCGACATTAAAAAATTGCAACTATGCTACTATATTGTGGATCATTATTACGGACTATTGCCGATCATTAACGTCCATAATAGCGTAAACGAACGATTTTCTTTTTTTTCTTTTATTTGACCTTGTTACATTGTTTCGGTTGGTTAGATTAGCTCGGCGAAAAAAGTCGCCTTGATCATAATAATAAGTCCACATTATCGACATTTTTTCATGAGTTAATGAAGATCCGGTTGTATTGCAGCTTGCCATATCCGTAGAATATTCAAAGTTACAGAATATTTAGAATAATATTTTGTCGTATTATATTTTATATCTATAATAGACAAAGACAGAGTGTCATGAATCATTTTTAAGATTTCTGACATTTTTGTTATACTCATACAAATCGTTTTTTCTTTATTTATAGGCAAATTTGTGACATATCCGTATAATATTTTTTCATTAAACATTTAGTGAATTTGAAATTCGTAAATTTGTGTATCTTGTATAAGGTAATTTATTTTTCTCATTTATCTTTTTCTATATTTTGTATATCTTTGTTTTTATATTTAGAAACATAATGATTTTATTAAATCGCGTTTCTAATTTGGATGCGTAGACGCATTTGATGCAGATGCAGATTAATGCGGAGAGAGAAAGACAAGAAACAGTTTCAGGCACTGCTTCGTGTCAGATTTCAAGGAGACGGCTGGAAGGAAACCAGACATTCAAGTATATATCAATTTTCATTTTATGTCAATTAATAAACGCGCATAATCGATAGATCGATACGTATTATTCTCTCTAAAGTGTAACAACATGAAAAATCGTAACTAATTTTAAAAACAAATTTTTCAATTAGAACCGTACAGAGAAAGATTTGTTTTTCCAACAATTTTACGTATTTTATTATAATATTTGAAGCAATATAGGTGGATCTAATTTTTATTAAAATGCCTGGAAAAGCAAAATAATTATTAGATGTTCCCATAGGACTATAGGATATGCATAAGTAATTCCGCAAAAATATATAAAACATTTTAACATAGATATTTTATCATATCAAAAATTGTAAATAATGTTATAATATAATTTTCAAATTTACAAGAATTTAATTTGCATTATTAATCAAAAATCAATATTTTTATATTAATTATTCTTTTTTATGATTTTTTTCTTATATATTCTATATTATTTATTATATTAT